TCTGCCTCTGACCCTCCCCCCTCTCATGTGCTCTCTCTCTCTCATTCTCTCTGTCTCAAATAAATAAATAAAATCTTTAAAAAATAAAAAATAAAAAATAAAAAAAAAGATGTTACATCATCTTTAAAAATCAAATCAATAGATATTTATAGAAAATGTGGATAGATCGATCATTTATAGGATATCCATTAGGTATTTAATACTATCATAGTTCTTGGGCGCTTGGGTGGCTCAGACGGTTAAGCGTCTGCCTTCAACTCAGGTCATGATCCCAGGGTCCTGGGATCGAGTCCCGCATCGGGCTCCCTGCTCCTTGGGAGCCTGCTTCTCCCTCTGCTTCTCTCTCTCTCTCTCTCTCTGTCTCTCATGAATAAATAAATAAAATCTTAAAAAAAAAAATACTATCATAGTTCTTGACAACTGACTTTTGTGGACGAGACTGGACCCTATGACACAAAGTTCTAGTCATTTCTTTTCCTTACCCATCTTGAAAATTCTGTATTCTAAAGTGCCCTTTTGCAACTATTAAACATTGCCTTGCTGCTAGCAGGCAAGGAACTGAACAATTTCAAGCTTCTAAACTGGTAGACCCTTCTTCTAGTCTAAATAGGCGTGGCCCGAGGTTGCAGCATTTTTACAGGGAAAGGCTTTATTGGAGGAGCTCAGACCCATCACCAGCTATATCCAGACTTAGTAACTTAATGCCACAGCCTTCAAACTCCAGCTCTCTCCCCCATTTTAGAGAAAGGAGGCCACTGGCTAAGGATCCAAACAAAATTACAGGGAACAGCTGGATATGTAGCAATGTTTTAAGATTTGGAAATGAAACCCAATATCCTGCTGAGATAGAATATTAAATGACTTGACACAATAACTTCTGGCAGGCACACAGCCTCCTGGTTGACTTAGAGAAGTATAGACTTCATGACATTTTAATTTACACTTGGTCTTATCAATTGGTAAAAACATCTCTGTTCTTCCTCCCTGTTAAGGAACAAAAAGAAAAAGAAAGTGTCCGACTTACCACTTTCCTTGCTATGGCAAATGCCTAAGAACTCATCAAAGGCATGAAGCACTGTGCTCTGAGCTGCACTCCCTCCAGAGTACTCCAGGGGCTCTGTGGAGACTCCTTCATAGATCAACCCCACAGGCATTGCTGGGTTATCCTTCCATCTAAGCCAGAGGAAAAGTTAAAGAGAAGGCGTGGGTGCTAGGAGTTAAGAGCATATTTTCTGATACGGAAACAGTGAGTAAGAGAGCAAACACAGCTTCAATGGTAATTTTAGAGCAAAAGACTTTGGATATTTTTGTAGGATATGTACTTAGGCATACTTCAATTTTGTAACAGGCCACAGAATACAGCTGTTCCTTTCCTCAGTTGAAGGATTATTCCAGAGAAGTAAAGGATATTTAGAGAGGAATCCTTAGCACTGGTCCTATGACATATTTATTAGAAAAAAAAATCACTTATAAAGATATCAGTGCTGATCAATAGGAGCAATTTAGGGGCTCTGTTATAATCTTCACCTAATCTCAACCCTGATAACCTGATACCTTTAACTCTGCAAACAGAGCTTTGAAAGTAAACACACACACACACACACACACACCTTTGCCCTTCCTTGAAATAGCTTTAACAGTTGTCATGCTGAACTATCAGTTTTAAACACTACCTGACTTTGTGGGAACACCTTTGTCAAATATGTTCTTGATGGCAGGTATTGATAACGAGGGCAGCAATAAAGAGAACATAGTACAACCCTACAGGTTACCAGAGGGACGTGGAGATGGACTGAATTGAGGCTCTGAGTCTTGCTCAGATGAAGTGGGTTTTCCTCCCTTCTTCTCTTCTTCTGTCTCCCTGATTCCATTTCTTTGTCTTTTTGTGTCTGAGTCCCCCTACCTCTACCTCCAACTATTTTACTCATTTCCCTGTCACATTTGTTATAGAGTCTTGAACAATTCCAGAGACTATGTGGGTGACTCCATAATAAGACAAAAACAATAGGACCAAGAACACATTCTAGTTGTACTTCCAAGGCATTAGTCTATAAAACCCCTGCACATTCATGTTCTTATTTGACCTCTTTTGAGTAGATGAAGGCAGGTTTTTAAAACCCCTTTTACAGATAAACAAAGACTCAAAGCTGTTAAGGCTCCAGGACCACATTGTTAGAAAATGGGGAAACCAGAACATAAATCCCAAACTTGTAATATGTTTTTTTTAAGATTGTATTTCTTTGACAGAGAGAGAGCGCACGTGTGCGCACAAGCGGGGGGAGGCACAGCGGGAGAGGGAGAAGCAGACTCCGGCTGAGCAGGGAGCCCGATGCAGGGCTCAATCCCAGGACTCCGGAATCATGACCTGAGCCGAAGGCAGATGCTTAACCGACTGAGCCCCCCAGGCGCCCCAAACTTGTAGTTTTCTATTTTCATTTTCCCAAGACCCCCGCATGTGGATTTGCACTTTTACTAAGGAATAGAGTCTTTTTTCCTCTTATTTCCAGGAATGAGCCACAGTCCCTGTTGTGAACAGTTTAAATAACAGGCTTACGTTGATGTCTCGCCTTCTTCCTATAATTCTAAAAGTCATTTTGCTCAAGAGAAGGGAAACATCACACACATACAAAAGCTGTAGCCAGACTGCTCAGCTTGCTGTTCATGCCCTTTTTCCAATACTTCCTTGAGGTAAGAAAGGCTATAAGGAGCTGGGTTGTTTTCTTTGCAGGTTGGTTTGTTCAGCAGTTGTATGGTTTCCACTGCATGAATGTCAGAGTGGCCTTTGCAGTGGGGGTGACATCACTCTGGAAACATGAGGCACGGAAAGCAGAGCCAGGGGAGAGCGAAGGAAGGATTCTGATCATAAGATTAGAACATGCTGTAGCTGTTGGGGGAGAGGGCTCTTTTTCAGGCAGATAGAGAATTTAATCTCAGCTTTGGTATTTATTAACTGTGAGCCTTGGCTTAGGTAATTAATCTCTCTGAGCCTCAGGTTCCTTATCCAAGTGATATTAGGATCTACCTTATTGGGTTGTTATGGGAACTAATAAAAATAATACCTGCTCAGGGCCTGGAACATATTAAGCATTTGCTAAATTTTATATTGTTCAGAGTGAGTTGGAATCCCGGCTCCCTCCATTCATTATGTTGTAACTTTGCATGCACCTTCGTGAGTCTTGGTCCCAATTTGCACCTACTTCCTAAAGCTGCTGCATAATTAAATGGGTTCCAGAGAAGTTTTATGACTTATCAGAGTTCAGGACACTGCTTCAATAAAATTTCTAAACAACATTTTATGGGGAAGGAGTATTGAAAACCTAAGTGGAACAAAGAGAGCGGCCACACTGGTTCAGAGTTGTTTTTGCCATCCTGTGGATGATCTCAGATGGTCACTTTGGTCTCTTTCAACAGTCCCTCCTCATCATGACCACTTCTGCGTGTTGGACTTTCTCAGGGCTCAGTCCTTGGGCTTCCTGCTACTTTCACTTTCCAAGTGGTTTTATTTAGCTTCATTGATTTAGAAGGCAACTATATTAGGACTATTTAAAAGCATACACTTATACCTGGGCCTCTCCCTTATGGTCCAAACTCATGTATTCAAAGGCCTACTTACAGATACCTCCACCAGAAATGAACATGTCCCAAACTAAGTTCCCAATTTCCCCTCCCTTCTGCCAAATGTGATCCTCCAATAGCCTTCCTCATCAGAGAAAATGGCAGCTCCATTCTTTCAGTGGATCAGGCCAAAACCTTAGAGTCCTCTTCAACTAATCCTGCTCTCCTCCTTCCATAAGCAATCGAATAGCAGGTCCCGTCAACTTTACCTTCAGTCATGTCCAGAACTGAACATTTTTTAGCACCTCCGCTGCTTCCACGCTAGTCCAAGCCACCTTGCTGGATTGTGGGATGGCTTCTTAAATGCTTGCCTGGCTTCCATTCTTGTTCTCAAATCATCTATTTTCCACTTAGGAGATACAGCAATGATTCGAAACTTAAGACAGATCATGTCATTTGTCTCCAGACTTTCTACCGCTGCTCTTCTCTCTCAGAAAGGAGCCAACAAGCCCCAACATGATCTGATCTTCTGCTATTACTTGTATCTCTCTCATTCTCCCTCATGTGTCTTTCATCCCAGCGACACTGGCCTCCTTGCAACATGGAATCCTTGTTCCTCCATGACAAGCATGCTCCAACCTCAGGGTTGTTGCAATTTTTGTTTCTTTTGCTTGGAACAGGTATCTAGAAGGTTTAGTTCTCACTTCCTTCAGGTATCTACACAAATGTCACCTATAAGTGTGGCATTCCCAGATCATAATCAATAAATAAGAAACTTCAGCCACCACCCACCCCTAGCTCTCCCTTGATGCCCTGTGTCTTACTTTACATTTCCCCATATTACTTATTGTTGTAACATATATTGTATGATACTTGCTTTAATTATATTTGTTTATGCATTATCTGGCTCCCATGATTAAAATGTAAGCTCCAGGATGCCTGTGTGGCTTAGTTGGTAAAGTGTCTGCCTTCAGCAGGTCATATTCCAGGGGTGTCGGGCTCCTTGTTCAGTGGGGAGCCTCTGCCTGCCGCTCCCCTGCTTGTGCTCTCTCTCTCTCTCTGTCAAATAAATAAATAAAATATTTATAAATAAATAAATAAATAAAATGTAAGCTCCATGGGAATGAAGTTGCTGTTTTGCTTTATTGCACCATTCCCAGAACCAGGAACTATGCCTGGCATATGGTAAGTACTTACTAAAGAGTTAATGAATGAATGAATGAAAACAATATCATTGTATAATTCCGTATTATATATCTAGAATATGTGGACCCAAATGTTTGTCTGGAAAGGACCTAGCCAGCTTTAAGGAGCCATCAGATGCTCAAATGGCTAAGAGACATCAATCAATCTCTTTTTGGTGCCCCAACATGAAGAAGATGTATCAAAGCCACATTGAAGGTGATAGAGAAAACATCAGCATGTAGGTCAAAAAAGATAAAATAAGGGGATCTACTTTCAAAACCCATGTTCTCCACCTGTGATGAGATTAGTCTGAGGAAGGGAAATAGGGTTTCTCTGACTAGCCCAAGGACTGCTCCCATGCACTCTCAGCCCAAACTACTGTTTGTAAAGGAAAGGAATTAGTTTCCTTTCAAATCTCTGTAGACAAGGTTATTTTTAATCTTTCTCATAGCATATTTCTAGGAAACCCAAGAGGAAGTGTAAACAGAAAGAAAAAAAGAAAGAAATGAAGTGACATTTTTCCACAGGGGCTGATGACTTCCCTGTGAAATTTAATGTGAGTGGGAAATAAAAAGAATATGTTTAATCTACAGATGATGAAACTCTCCTAAATAAAAATGTTTTTAAAAAGTAGGGCGCCTGGGTGGCTCAGTTGGTTAAGCGACTGCCTTCGGCTCAGGTCATGATCCTGGAGTCCCGGGATCGAGTCCCGCATCG